AAAAAAAAAAGTTAATATGAAGAAGAAAAAACTAATACTTTCTGATACAAGATGATACCTATGAAACACAGAAATACAATAACACTAAACAATTCTAGGCCACTATATCACCAAACGATAACAACCTAAGGACGCGATGTATAAAGCTAAAAAAAAAAAATAACAAACAAAAGAATGGTTAGTAAAAAAAAAAAAGTCAAATAAACAAGAAACGTGAAAAAGAAAAACCTAAACCAATGCTTATATCATCTTTAGCATGAAAACTCACAAACCAACATGATTTCGTTAAAAGTTAATTCTATACAAAACGTCCAAACACCTTTAACTCCACAGACACATAATCCAACTTACCATGTAATTGCTATGTCTTCTCAACTTAATGCCTAACTTAGCACTCAGCGAAAATGCAGCACTATCAAGCAACTATGCTGACGAATAACTACAATTTAAAAACACAAAGACTGGTTAGTAAAAAAAAAAAAGTAATACAAACAAAAAAAAACCAAACTAATACTTATATAGACGACCCAATAGCACAATGTACTATAAAATACAGAAATGCAATGAACAATATAACGCTAAAAAAAAAAAGAGATAGGTAAGCAGACACTATAATAAAAAAAAAAAATAGCAATATAAAAAAAAAAAAATTGATACTGATACTTATATGCAGATTCTGAAGATATATGTAATCAGAAATTTTCTCCTGGTTAAACTAGTAATTTTTTAAAAAATATAAAAAAATAATACAAAAATAATTAAATAAAAAAAAACAAACGTAGCGATAAAAAAAAATATAATACCCAATAATAAGCTATGTACCTCAGTGTTGAGCATAAAAATACTTAAAACTCCTATGTTCCAAAAATAAGCTACCTTCGATTTTTTGAGTTTAAAATTGTCCAAAAAAAGATAGCTTATTTTTAGAAATCTACGGTAACAGTAGCGGCTTTGACTTGCAAATATTTGTTCTCAGACTCGGCATAAATTACTGAAGCCTAGATTAGTCAGATTGTAGATACAGAAAGCTCTAGCAGGTTTATCTTGAAAATAAAAGGCTTTTTAAAATGGTTGAAGCCTGCTTTAAAATCCTAAGCTGGGTATCTAAAAATAAGAAGTCCATATTAGATTCTCACTTGGTTATAAAGATTAATCCTATAGGTGTAGAAAGTTTAAATAGATAATCACCT